ACACACACACACACAAACACACACACACACACACACACACAAACACACACACACACACACACACACCCTCTTCTTCATTTTGGCCTTTTAGTCATCATTATTTTTAATCAGTAAAAGACATCTTTTAAAGTAAGACTGTTATTTACAATAATCACTTCTTATACTGATATTATATTTTATGTTTCAACATGCATTTTCATCAGACTAAAAGTGAATACAGCATCTAAAATCAATTTGTAAATTCAAGACTTTCTAGTATCCAGAACTGCAAGTAGTACATTTCCATTCTTTACCCATTATCTAGTCAATTCTGGGTACAGCAGCACAAAGATGACTAAGATACTCAGTTATCACCTTTCTGTTATTTTGTTGGATTTGGCTATTATTTTCATGAATTTTCAGGTTTCTTTCCAGTGAAGACTTCCCTGATCATATTATTTAAAATTGGCAGAAACCTCACTTTTCTGGTTTTATTACTAACATCTACTGCAGTTTTTGTTGTATTTTTAAAAATCCATATCTCCTCATTAGAATAGCTCCATGAAGGCAGATGCTTTTGTGTTTTGTTTATTGTAAAATTCCTAGACCCCATGTAGGTGCAGATGGACACTTTACATAGACATGCTAAATGAAAGAATAAGACAATGAATCAATGGGAGACTACATTTATACAACTAAGAGAAATAATTTTCAAGCCCAGTTACGCTAACACATTTTAATCAAGCCAAGTAAAGTTCCTTTCTATGCATTCATAAGCTTGTTCATACTCACTCCTCGCCCCATCTGTATTAATCCATTTCACTATGATAATGAAATACCTGAGACTAGGTAACATCTAAAGACAAGAGTTATTTTGGCTCACAGTTTGGGTCTAAGGTCAAGGGCCCACATCTGCTGATGGTCTTCCTGCTGACCAAGTCCTGTGGCCGTGCGTAGCATCTCAGGGAAATGCACAGGAGCATGTGTGTGTTCTCTAGTCTCTCTCACAAAACCACCAGAATTCAATCATGAGGGCTCCACCTTAATGATCTTATCTAATCCTAGTCACTGCCCAAGGCCACACCTCTGTACACTATAATCACATTAAACTTCCACCCTGTTAATTTTTCATAATGGGGATTAAACTCCAACGTTGGTTTCAGAAGGAAAAAACCCATATTCCAGCCATGGCACCATCTTACTCTGGAATACTGCTTCTCTTTTTCCTCTGATTATTTTTCCCTAATTATCTGCATATTGCCAACATTCAAACATGATTATTCATGTATTGCTGTATCATACTGTGCCTTTGACTGGTCTCTAAATATTCTTGAAACAACTTTTTGAATTGAAGAAGTAACAGTATAAAAAGATACAGGCCAAACTACAATAAGGTGATTTGTGATTCTGATATTTGTAATATAAGAAATAAATATCTACACCAGGTAATATGATCCTATTTAGCACTTCTGATTATCAGGATTTTTTGAGCTATTTCTGTTAATCTTACTAAAATGATCAGCACTGACTTGATCTACCGTTATAGCTAATGTTTTTATGCTGATTAACTCAAGGTGTGTCTAAGCAGTTCCTGAGTCTGAACACAACACTCTAGATTTGCTGGTGGGATATAGCCTTACATATGGCAAAATAAAAAAATCATGTGATTCACCATAACCATCCGTATTTCCCTTATATCATTACCCGCAGAAGTTAACTAATTTCTGATTATAAATCCTCTTCCCAAGCATCTGATAGGCCACACAAAGCTCCTGTGCCCAAGAGCATGAGACCTTTAAACTGCTACAGTAGTAGTAATTCCTCCCATTCTAGAGGCTGAAACATCCATGTAGTTGTAAAGGCTATGCCAGGAGAGTGCTATCAGGTATTCAACACCACAGAGAAAAATCACACCACTTTCCTCATGGAAGCAATGGCATTTGTTGATAATGACGATATGGATATGGTATCTAATTGTGATTTCACATCCTGTGACCCAAGTTACTCTTCCATAAATGTGAATAGCACTATACCTTCAATATTAATAAGGACCAAATTAATTAATTAATTACAACGGAAGATATCAATAGATACTTAATGTATATCACTTTCTCCTTCAAGACAAAATTCACAGCAACTCATTAATAAAAATGTCATAAAGTCACTTGAAAAATGTACTCTTGTAATCATTGTTGTGACTGTGGAAAATGAGAAAATTATGATGCATTTATCATCCAACAAACAAACATGCAGAATATAATTTGCACTATGTAAGGTGTTTGGGAACAAATGATGAGCCCAAACCAAATGTATTATGAAACCCTGTGGCCCTGCAGACTCCAGACTTCACACCATTCATACTGGAACCTCAAGAAGTAAACAGGACCATGGTAATTATTCTCATCAGAGTTTTTTGAGTTAAAAGCAATGCATGGGCTGGCTGAGGATTGTAGCTCAGTGGTACTGTGTCTACCAGGTGCAAGGTCCTGGGTGTGATACATAGCACCGCAATAAAAACAACCAATAAAATTGGTACTAATGACAGAGCATTTGCTGGATTCCATAGCCATTGAATTCCTAAACAGTAATTTTATCCAAGAAATCTTTCATTCATTCAATCAATATGTCTTTGCAAAGTTACCTAGTCTGTGCTGGTGCTGGGAATGCAGCACTGAGAAAAGCATACCCCTTGCCTTCAAGAAATCTGATAAGTAATCTACAGGCAGCAATAAGCACAGCCTAGCATGATAATTAACACTCCTTTGGTGCTTGCTATGCTGTATGGAATCAATGTCTTCAATTGAAAGGGAATCCTGAACCCTACTGTTCTATAAAAGCATGTTCCATGAGTTTCTACTCCTATCGTAGAAAGTTGGAAATCTTCAACACAGCCTCCAACTGTTTTCAAACCTATTTACTGCAAACCAAAGCAGGATAACCTTTTTCTATCACAATATGACACACAAACATTCACATACACAAGCTAAATACGGAAACAAGTTTAATATGATACTTTTACTAAGAACCATGTACACTACTTGTTCTTTTTTTTTTTTTTTTCTATTTCATTTGTTTAAATGCAGGTAGCATCCCACTGAATTGATGTGATGACTCACCCGCAACAGTTTGAAAAATAAAGGCCTAAAGACTTCATGATTAGATTTCTATCTACTTCCTCATCCTTACCCCACCACTCAACTCTCTCCTTTTCTTTCTGGTACAGTCATGCTGGGTTTCTTTCCTTTCTTCAAATGTTTCTGGCTGTGTAACATTTAGAGCTATAACCCACCTCTTCTATTCATCCATTTATTCAACCAAAGTTCAGACCACAATTAATTATATCAAGTATTGTTCCAGGGGCTACAGAGGCAGAAGTGTGGGTTGGATACAT